CCTCCTAGGTGGTGTGGCCCGGTGCCCTTTGATCCGGGAAGGCTGGGACGAGAGGCGGCCGAGGGCCCTCCGGGGGAAACACCAAGGGCTTATCTGAGCCAGAACGAGGGGCGGGACTGCCCAGAGAAGGAACTCTGCAAACCTCCCTCGGAGCCTTGGTGAAAGCCGCTGAGGGCTCGGAGGGAAGCTGCTGGCTGTGCCACAGGAAGCCCTCGGAGGGAGGCCTCTCTGCCTCCCACGGCGGGCACGGAGCAGGTGTGGGCACGGCTGGCGCCCAGAGGAGCGTGTGTGGCAGCCCGGTGGCAGAGTCACCCGAGGTAGGAGACAATGGCCCGTGCAAGGGGTGGCGGGTTCAGCTCTGCTGGGGACTGGCTGCTGCTCCCTGGGGCCTCTCCCTCCGGCCCCTTCCTCTTTCTGCCTCTCTCCCCATGGCCTCTTTGCATTTCAGAGCTTCCTGCTGTTCTCCTTGGGTGGTGGCACCCGGAAAAGCTGGGGCACAGTTGCTCCCAGTGGCAGTGTTTTCAGGCTGGCTGTAGTACTTTCTTCTCTAATCTGGTCTCCGGGCCAGAGTTCTGTGGTGCGGCCATCTCTCAAGCAGACCGGCCCAGCCGTTCACACATGGAGCCCTCTGGACACTGACCTGGAGGGCAGGGGGGTGGGGTGACCTTCTTGCCAGCCTGGGCAGGCCTTTGTGGCCTGCTGGGCTGGGCAGACCTGCTGGCAACTGATCTCAAGAAGGCCCGGGCTCAGCCTGGGAAGGTGGCAGTGACGATGGTAGAAAGGGTTCAGTCTGCGCAGCTGCTCCTGCAATTGGGAGGTTATGATCCAGGTGGGGAGATAAGGTGGGGAGAGGAGGGTGTGTGTATGTGCGTGTGTGGAGAGAGACAGGAGAGGGGAAAAGAACAGAAGAAAATAGTGTCTAAAGCTCTGGATTTTGGAGGTTATTATTGCATGAATAGGTGTTATTGAAGAATAATTTTGCAGATGGAGGTATTTTGCTCTTCAAGGCTTCAATCAGTGTTTCCCAAAGTGTGGTACGCGTACCCCCAGGGGTACGGGAAGAGTTTGGTTGGGGGTAGGCGTTGCACAGGAGTTTGGTAGGGATATGCACGGCACTGTGCTTAGCTGCGCCTAATTCTACGTTCTCATGAGTACGAGGGATACTCAGCGTTATGAAAATTATAGAAGGGGTACACATATGTCAAAAGTTTGGAAAACACTGGTTAGAGAATCCAAGTTAAGTGCCAGTTTAATTTTTTCAAGTCCAAGTTCACTTAACTGTGCGACTTTTGGTATCGTGTTCTAAATGACAAGGGTCAATGCCAGCTGGACTGAAGTTCGGTCAGGAGTGCCTGTGGTTTTACACGCGGGGACCCCTTCCCCTCTCTGTGCTGCTCCTGACACTTTGTGGCTCTCTCTCTCTCTTGTCTCTCTCTCTCGCTCTCTCGCTCTCTCGCTCTCTCGCTCTCTCTCTAGCTCTTGGTTTCTTCTTGTCCATCCACCTCTTCCTACTCATCTTCGGAGGTTCTCTGGGTGCCACGCCTGACTCTCCCCCACAACAGTAGGAATGGGCTGCACCAGGCATCCTGGAGGCCTCTGCAGAGGCCTCTGTGGGGGAGGGGGAGCAGGGGGAGAGCACACACTCCTGAGCCTGGCATTTGCTCCCCCAACAGAAAGGCTTAGACACGCGTCAGGTTCAGAGAAACAAGCAGGTATCCCTTGAGGCTTGAGTGGGCTTGAACTCTTCTAGAGTGTTCAGTAGCCTCACTAACCGGCTTCATACACAGTGGCTGGGGGAAACCATTTTCCACAGATTAGCAAACACTACCCCTGAAAAGGTGGCAGGCTTCTTCACTGTGCATTTGCCTGTCCATGTAAGCAGGCTCATGTGTCAGACAAAAGCTGATTATTCCTTTTTCTGGAGGAAAGATCCTTAGCCTCCAGGACAGAGGAGGGGGTGAGAGAAGGGAAGTGCATAAAACACCTTTTGTTTGCCCTGCTTTGCTGAGCTGATGGAATCCTCTTGTTTAATGGGAGGTGCCAGGGTTACAAGACAGCTCATTTCCGATGAGAAGGGACTTCCTAAGAAGCCAGGAGACAAGGACCGTGAACGTGGTCTGCACGAGTCTGTGGCAGGGGCTGGATCGCTGCTGGGCACGTGGGCTGGGCGATCCCAGGTCTGCAGGCCCCATCTGGTGTTCACTCACCAGTCAGCCACAAAACCGTTTGAAAAGTGTAGTTCTCTCTCCAAGTATTGATTTGGCGCTTCTTTTTCCCGGCTTTAAATAGTAATTTTAGGTAACAAACCATTCATGTGTCCTACTTTATTAAATTTTTAAGCTACTAGAAGTTCTCTGCACCTGTAATGCACCTACCTTTATGGGGGATGGCTTTGCGGCTTTAACAGTGTAAAGGTTTTGATTAGCCAGAAGAGAGAAGGAAGGGCCCTCCCCTGAAGCTTTTGGAGAGAGCCTGGCCCTGCTGACACCTTGATTTAGGCTTCCAGCCTCCAGAACCGTGAGAAAATACCTTTCTGTTGTTTTAAACCACCAACTCACTGGTAATTTCTGCAGCCTTAGGAAACTAATACACCCAAGTCCCACCTACACTCATTCCCTGTCCCACCAGAGGGACACATGGAACCCTTGGGGACGCACTGGGCTGAGTGTGCTGTGAAGGTCCTTTGCAGTCCCATGGCTGGATGATGGCCTTCGCTGTATCTGTCAGGAGTGATGTAAGCATCAGTGCCCCTGTTTATAAAGGTGAGGGAAGACAGTTTTCATCAGTTCTGAAGGGCACCCTGGTGTGTGCACCTGACGGCTGGGGCTTGGTGGTGCCTCCGTGGTTGTCCACCAGCTGACTTCGGAATCCCTGATCCAGCCTTTGCTGAGCAGAGGGCTGGTACCTGATGCTCTCTCATATCTGTTTGGCTTTCTAATGAACTCATTTGGATCACAGCCCTTTGATCCCATCCATGGTTTCTAAACCAATCACAGTCTGTTCCCTTTGTTTCCCAGTTTTCCATCTGCATCTGTATTTTCCAACTATAGTGCAGATTGGTGAGTTATCTATCTCATTCTCTGCCTTAGACTATCAGAATCCCATAGACATATTTAATTTGGATTTAAAATATTTAATAAACAGAATGTTTCAGTTCAATCTCTTTTTCACTACTTATCATTCATTTGCATGAAGAATTTATATTTAATCCTTTATAGTCCGCATGTTAATACATATTCTGCAAGACTGGCCCTAATGCCTGCTCAACAAATTCTTATTGAGCGCCTTCTGCATGCCATGCCCCGGGAGCTGCTTCCTCAGGCATACCAGATTGCCCCTGGAGACACAGAGAGGATCAGTGTCCCAGACTATGAGAACTGGCTTGTAAAGGGAATGTAATGACAGTTTTACCACTCCCTGGCTTACAATGATGCTGGCTCAGAGTGGGTGCTCAGTAGATGTTTAGTATTTCTTCTTCTTACTCCATGCACAAAGCAGCCTCACACATAGCTCTGTAGCCTGCTCCCTTTTAGACTCTTCCTACCGATGTCTTCTGACCCAGAGGGCAGAGAGGCAGTACAGTCCATCCAGGGGAAGGTGCTGAGTTTTAGGTTTCTAAAGACACCCTGCCGCCCTCCATTTGCCACAAAAGGTGAGGCACAGGGCACACACATCCTTAGGCTGCTCGGCTTACTCATGCCCAGCAGCCAAAGTGATCTTCGGGCTTGATTGAACAACACTCTCAAGAATGTGTTCACGCCGAAACTGGTTTGACTCAGTGGATAGAGTGTCAGCCTGTGGACAGAAAGGTCTTAGGTTCGATTCCGGTCAAGGGCATGTACCTTGGTTGCAGGCACATCCCCAGTGGGGGATGTGCAAGGGGCAGCTGATCGATGATTCTCTCTCATCAATGTTATAACTCTCTATCCCTCTCTCTTCCTTTCTGTAAAAAATATATGGTATATATGAATGTGTTCACACCTAACACTGGGCTTCTGCCATGACTTTTAAAAACAGCTTTATTGAGATGTGATTTATACATCATGCAATCCACTCACTCAATGGTTCTTAGTATATTTATAGATATATGCAGCTGTGACCCCAATTATAGGACATTTTCAATACCTCAAAATCACATACCCTTTAGCTAGCATCCTCTATCCCCTCAACCTCCATGCCAAAAGAACCATTTTTTTTTTTTTGTCTTTATAAATTTACCTCTCCGGGACATTTCATAGATTGGCACCACCGTATAGGCAGCCTTTTGTGGCTGGCTTCTTTCATGTGGCATAATGTTTTAAGACGCATCCCTGTAGCTGTATCAGTCCTTCGTTTCTTTTTATGCCTGAGTAATATTCTGTTGTGTGGCACTACCACATTTTGTTTCATCGGTCATCAGCTGGTAGCCATTTGGTTTGTGTTCGCAATTATGAGCACTTTTCTGTACACATTCACGCACAGATCTTTGTGTGCCTATTTCTCTTGGTACATGTCTAAGGAGTGCAATTGCGGGGTCCAAGGATAGCTCTATTTTATCCATGTGTGGACTGTTTTCCAAAGAGGCCACACCATTTCACATCCCCGCCGGCAGGGTCTGAGGGGTCCAGTTTCCCAGCATTGCCAGGGGAGGGGCTGGTGATGGTGGGCCAGAGAAGACAGTGCAGGGGGGTTCAGAGGAGCCCCGAACACTGCCAGAGGGGCCGGGCCATGGAGGGGGAAGGCTTTGGTTTGACTTTTATTTCCAAATCATCCATCACCAAGATCATTACTTTTCCCCGAGGACACACCTCCCATGCCTAGCAGAATGAGCTTTGTTGGGGAGTCCGGCGTCCCTGCCGCGAGGTGAGCGATTTGGGATGGTGCCGAGGGGCCCACTCCTCCTCATCCCTGTGCTCACGCCGCCGCCCTGCTGCTGGGGGTGGTTCGCCCAAGCGGGGGCCAGGCTCCCGGAACCGGGAACCGCTCTCTGATCGCCGTCTCTCTCCCTGCTTTCCGCGCAGCCAAGACCTTCGCCGCCGCAGAGTGCCGCCTGGCGGCCGCCGCGGGCATGAGCCGCTACAGCCTGGACCCCGCCGCCCCCGCCTTCGGCCCGCGGGGCCCCGCGCCCGCCGCGCCCTCCTCGCTGTACTGCAAGAGGCAGCACTCCGGAGATGGCCCCCGCACCGGCCCCCTGTCCCCCGCAGGCCCCCCGGCACCGGGGCTGAGGCCCCCGGGCTGCAGCCCCAAGAGGAACGGGACCTCTCTGGAAGGAAACAGATGCGGTAACGTAATGCATGCCTGGACCCCAACCCCCCTCCTGCCTCTCCCTCCTGGGCGGGTCGAACCATCGCAGATGGGGGAGGAGGGGACCCTGGCCCTTTGAACGTGGGAACACTGGGAAACCCGAAGTTTCCATAAGTCCCCTCTAAATGTCTGTGACTCTTGAACACAGCTGAGGTCGGGCTGTGAGGATAAGGACAGGACATGGTGTGTTAGAGTAGGCGAGGCTGTAGGAGTCAGTAGGCTCCAACATTACGGTGGCTGAAGTACCACAGAAGTTTCCTTTTTTGTTCAGGAGACTAAGGAGGGTGTTCCTAGTTGGTGGGTGCACCCCTAGGGGCCCAGGCTCCGTTCTGTTTGTGGCCCTACTACCCCCAAGTCCCAGAGCCCCAAGCACCCAGCGGTGGAGAGGGCAGGAGCAGGAGGAGCAGGCACAGCCTCCCTGGAGCCTGGGCCGGTCACATCCCTCCAGCTCCCTGGTCTTTGGCAGGAGCTGGCCATTTGGCCACACATCCCTCTAAGCTGGGGTTCTGAGAGGCGTGGGCTAGCTCTGTGCCGGGAACCATATGTTAGTAAAGTTTTGTTTTGTGTGGTAGGTGACACCGGCGGCTGCAAATAGATGGGTGGAACCAGAGATCTGCCAAATGCACACAGCACTGGCTGTGACCCCACTTCCGTCTCACCGTCACAGAGTACAAAAGTGCCATCATTCTAGGGATGGCTTAGCGTCCATTCTGGTGTGTGTGTGTGTGTGTGTGTGAAATAATTTTCAAACTCCAGTATTTCGTTAGTGAATAGAAGCTATTAGAGCACAGTGGATAATTGCATGGACTGGGAGCTGGATGACCTGGCTGGGACCCTGGATCTGCTGCTTTCTCTTGAGCAAGTCTGACCTTTTGCACGCCTGAGCATCTCTGTGCCTCAGTTTCCTCACCTGTAAAACTGGAGTAATAATAATAGCACCTACCTCCTAGGTTTGTTGGGAGGATTAAGTAAGTTCACGTGTGTATTTAGTACAAAGCCCTAGCCAAAGTAAGAACTCAACAAAGGTTAATCGTTGCAGATCACATGAGCATACCCCTCAACAGAGCAGCTCATCAACTCCAGGGCTGAGAAGTACTGAGAAAGGAGGCCTAGGCCAAGGAGGCAGAGTCTTCATCCTGCCCCTTCGGAGCCTCCCGGGAGCTGGCCATCTTTCTTAGCAAGCCACGTTTCCTCCTGAGCCTTGGCTCTCTCCGCCAGCAGCCCTGAGAAGCCACAGCTATGAGCACTTTCTTTGTGGGATCCAAGGTCCTCACACACTCCCCTCAGCAAACCTCACCCATCCCAGATGTGCCTCTGCTGGCTGAGGATAGAGAGGGAAGCAGGGGCCCCGTGATGGGGAGACAGTCCTGAGGGCAGAGCATAGACCCCCTCAGCTAGGGTGGGGGCTTTGGCCAAAGGTAGAGGCACCTGGAGGCCATTCCCCAACACTGACACTCATGGCTATGGGCCGGGAAGAAAATTCCAGAAGCAAGAGATGCTGTTCCATTTGATCTCTGAGAACAAGAGAAGGGAACAAGATCTGGCACAAACCAATGTTGCAAAGTAAATGAAGGGGCAGCATTTATTTCTCAGGTTTATCCCCAGAGTCAGAGTAACATCTGGCATATGATTGGTGTTTAGTGAACATTCACTGTACCTGCCCCCTGCTGCCATGGTGCCCAGAGCCCTCATGTGGCTCCTGGCACTCAAAACCCTCATTCCTGTGTCCCTCTGGCCTTCTCATGTCTCTTCTCTCTTCTCTCAACCTCTTCTCCTCAACCCAACTCCCACTTGCTCAGGGTGGTGATCACAGGATACCACCAGATTGAATTGATTTGTAATCCTAAGCGTGCTGCCTCTAGTTGGTGAAATCTCAGGCCCTGTGTCGTAAGGGTAAGGATTTCAAGCAGTGGGAGGAAGACACAATTTGGGTGGAGAGAACCATCACTTGCTGTAGAATTGTCTGCCCGTCCCAGTCCATCTGGTCCCCCTGAACGAGGGAGACCCAGGGTACGTCAGAGGGGTCTCAAGGGAGCTCAGCTCCCAAAGCCCTTGCTGGCTCTTTCCCACAGACCCTTGAGATGTCCTCTCACCCCAGTTTTAACCATCCTCTGGTCCTTTATTTTGATCTCCACCAGCTCTTTGTTCTGGAATTAGACCTGGATCCGCATCCGAGTAATCTGCCAGAGGCAGGGCCGGCTCTGAGGAAGCCCTCTCTGTCGGAGCCCCGGCTGTACCCATGACAGCCCCTCTCGCTCAGGACTCCTGCCTGCCAGGGCTTTGGGGAGAAACAGCCCTCCAGTTCCCACTGCCTTCCATTCCAAGAAAACCCCAACTGTATCCTGACTATCAAAGGTCTCTTTGACAACTTAGACACATTAGTGAGAACTTTGCCTGATACCCTGAAAATCAGAGTTGTTCGTAGTCAGCAGATGCCCTCGGGCAGTGGGATGTTCAGAAACACACAGCCGCCAGCCTCCCCAGAGGCAGGATTAACAGCTGAGATCCGTGGCCAGGCTCTGTGACACACTGCCGAAAATGAAATTGTTTACCCTTTGTGGGTGCCTTCCCTCTTTAGTGCTCCCCAAATCCCTTTTACTCAGTGCTTCCTTCAGGGTGCGAAATGGAACCACAGATACCAGAAAGAGCTAGCCAGCCATACATACTCTCAGCATCCAGATGAAGGAAGTGGGTGGGAAGGGTCAGGGGACAGAGGGCAGTGCTGGCATCTCTGGACTGAGGTTCCCTGCTTACCTCTCATTGGCCAGAATTTAGTCACATGGCCATGAGCTGCAAGGGAAGCTGGGAAATATAGTTTCAATTCCAAGCAACCAATAGAAATCAGGGCTTCTATTACAAAGGAAGAAACAAAGAAAAGCTATTGGCTAGGCAAGTGGCAGCTCAGCCACACCCCACGATTAGATGTGTTCTTTCTCTCCTGCTTCCTCCGCTGGCACTCTGTTTCCTCGTCTCCAGTATTCCTCTCTCCAGTCCCATGGTAGGAGCCAGACTCTCAGCTTTGGGAGGTTTCTTGCTCGTATTTGTCTCCTCTGCAACCCCAGAAGGGGGGCCTGCTTGTTTGAGGCATATGCTACACTTCTATTTAATGAGCAACTAACCCTCTGAGGTTCTTGGAAAGGGCAGAGGGGATAGGAGCAGACAGGACTCCAACACCCCAATCTCTTTAATCGGGGCCTCTTTGTATTTGCAGAGTGGGGCTTTACGTATGCTTTGTTTGAACGTAATTTGCACAGCTAACCACATTTGGAAGCCATGGAAATAAAGCATGTGGGATCAAGTAGAGAGAAAGCTATGGGCCGCCATAGCCATTTGTCACTTTGCTGCCTGCAGGGGGCCCTCTGGAGGGCCATTAGTTTTTCCTGTGCCCAAGGAACTGCCCCATATTGCTCTGGAATAGCATCCCCAGTGAAAGCAGATGGTATGAAGGAACCATGCCCCTTTAAGAGGGTTTGACCCAAGTCATAAACCTTGGAAGGAATCCAGCAATGAATTCCTCTCACACGCCCCCCCCCCCCCCATGGTGCCAATCAAAATGGATTAAAACCACAGAGGCCAGAACATGGCATGAGGTTGCAGGCAGGGGAGTGGATATGGACGACGTGACAAAGCTGCGAGCCTTCACGTGAACACTTTCCCTGGCTGCCTGCTGTCTCGATACATCACACCCATCACCTCTGCCAGTGGACTCGGAAGGGATGTCATCACAGGACACATTTACCTGTTGTGTTTTGCTGATCCTCGGGTGAAAACTCAAGAGCTCTCTCCCATCTCTCCTCCCGGACATAATCACTGAGAGCCGTAAAGAGGCTGCAGACAACAAAAGCACCCAGATTCTTGCTTTTATAACAGGACGTGCTGTAGAATTCCCAAGCACAACTTCAGGTCCAGGCTTCAGAATCAAGGAACAAAGTAAATCAGATATTGTTATTAGCACCCACTTGCTTCCCATGAGTTGGAGTTTGCTTTTGTAGTGTATGGCGTCCGGGTGACGGACAGAGACAATTCCGCCGGAACAAGGATGGGAACAGCACTGTATGTGATGTGAGTGGGTGGCTGAAGGCAGGGCAAGGGTCTGTTCATTCTGGGGAGAAGAGTTGCACCCGCTAAGACTTAGAGAGATGCCAGCAATCGAGCTCATTGCTGGTGCAGCTCCAGAGACAAACAGAACAATTGCACACACTGAATCACAGCTGTGACTTGCCCCACAGGACAAGTATGGCTGCTATGGGAGAGTCCGGTTGGGAAAGCTTTCTGGGCCTCCTCTGGGGAGTCAGGAAAGGTTTCCCGGAGAGGTGACCGTGGAGCCAGCTGGAAGGGGAAGCAGGAGCTGGCCGGGAGGGCACTGGGGACAAGGGGTGAGATCAAGCTGCGTGCCCAGAGGCCACAGTGGTGGCAGAGGATGAATCAGCCCTGCTGGGCCTCCCTTCAGGCCTACGGCCTCTCCTCGTCTCTAGAGGCATCCTCTCTTCTCATACAAACGTGGCAGCTGGTCTTGAAGGAATAAAATTAAAACTTGATTACAATCTAAGAATTGGGCAGGCCCTTTTCTGTCTCCCATCTCCCTCACCTCATAGGGAAGACTATTGTAATAGAAACAATGAAAGACAACACTTTTAAGTTGCCTGATGCTGCCCAGATTGCGGGCTAACCTGCCACCTTATGCACTGCCTGCCTTGTTTCTAGAAAGGGTGCATTCTATGGAGCAGGTGAGGAGGAGGAGCTGAGGACAGATCTACCCTCCCCATTGCCTTCACCCTGTCTCCTCCCAGCCCAGCTCTGGCTGCTAAGGGGATCTACAGGCAGCCCGAGGAAAGGCAGCTTAGTCCCCTTTTGGGCACTGATGGGCTTTCCTTCAGAAGCTTCTGATCTGGTTCCAGCCCAAAGCTACACATTCACTGATTCTTACAATATTCGTGAGAAACAAGTTGAAGAAACAGCAGCCCATAGAGAATGATCAGGGCCAGGAAAGGGACCGGGAGCTTGGCTGTTAATTCTTCATCCTGTGGGCTTTGCACATGGACACAGATGAAGGTCTCAGGTGAAGCTCTCAGTTGTGTGAGTGGCTAACCGTGAGTGTTGCAAAGGGCAGCCTGTGGTGTAAAGGGGCTATGCAGTGTCTCAGGTGGAAGGGACCTTCGAGGTCCTTCCCAGCTGCTTTATTTCACACCCAACAGGCACGGAGATGCTCATGTAGCTGGTGGGCGGTAGGGATTTCTGACTTCGAGCTCATTGCTCATTCCCTTCTTCTTGTGACCCCATTGTTATCTAAGTCATTTATGAATGCACAAAAGGGAATTACGCATGTGCTTGTGGGTGTGTGAGGCAGGAGAGACTCGGAGGTAGCAGTACAAGTGCTTGTGCTGTGAGAATGCTGGGACTGTTTTGAATCCTGATTCCTAGTCATTCTATTCCTGAATTACGCTTTAGAAATGACAACAGCCATCTTTAGTTACACCTGGGTTTCTCTTTCACGTCTCCAGCAGCCCAAGGAGCGGACAGGATGTGCACTGCGTCCTCCGTGCTGGAGAATGCTGTCTCCCTAATGACCTCAGGCGAGCACATTGTACGCTCTGTTCTTTTAGGAGCAGGATTTTTTTTCACGTCCATCATATCTCACCCCTGTCCATCACCTCTGCCTGGCCGTACCCGTCTCCGTCTTCCTGACACCTTCACAGCGCTGGAGGGGCTGGCGTGTCTGTTATCTCTGCGAGCAGAGGCCACTGCAAAGGCTTTGCAAACCTGCTACCTACCGGAAAGTTCCATTTCTCTTCCTTCTAGAGGGAGTCCGTGTGCTTTGGAGCTTGAGCAACTCCAGGGGTGTGGCAGGCTTCCTGCTGCTCTGTCTTGTATGACCAAAGGCCCCTCAGAGAGACTCCCAGGCCTGGCTGCAGCCCTTCCAGCCTGGAGAAGTGAAAAATGCTGTAGTGAGCAGCAGGCGCCAGGAGGGGGCCTCTCTCCCTCCAGCGCCATCCCCTGGCGCACCGCCTCCTAGAGACCCACACCTCCTTCCTGTTCCCTGGCCTTGCTCAGAGGAACTCAGGCTCCCACAGAGGAGGCTGTGAGTCGGCCTGGAATCTTTTCATTCTATCAAATACAGGAAATTAGATTTGCCCTCTGCTCTGATCACTCTAAAATCATTCTTGGCACCGTGGTCTTCCAGCCTTTGAAACCAGAGCATCTATTATCACCCTGACTAATGCCGAAGCTTCGACGGGGTGGGATCCAGAGGCAAGCGCGATTCCGTGATGCCTCGTCCTCATGTTGAGTGCAGATGTGTTTAAAGGCTGTGGAGTCACCTCTAATGAGCACACGTCTGCATGCAGAGGGCTCCAGGGGGCGGCGACAGTTTCCCGGCAAAAGTGCCCGTGCCCGACAACCTCAGGGGCCTCTTCCAGGTGCAACAAGGAAAAGGCAGGGAAATGTCCAAGAAAGCCCAGTTCTCAGCCAAACCATTACGTTGTGAGGCTGTGCTTTTCTCGAGCACCGTGCAGTGTGGAGGGAAGAAGGGACTGTGGAGAACCGTGGCACCCTGAGGCTGGAAAAGGGAAACAGAGCGAAGGCTCCCCCACTTCTAAGACAGGATTGTTCTGTGGGAAAGCGGCCTCACTCTTCAGAGCCTCAGCTTTTTTTCTGGCCGGAAAAGGGGATTAAGGATTACCCACACAAGGCTCTTGTATGAGTTATTTACACTGTTTCTGCAAAAAGATACTGAATCATTTTACATTGATTGACCCAGTTTTTACAAATATATACTTAGAGCAATGGAGAAGCCAATGATTACAGATCCCCGTAATGAGAGGACACCATTTTCCACCAAACAGTTTGCCTACGACCTGGTAAAGAAGAGACAGATGCTCAGTAGACGTTTGTGGAATGAATTGGGGGGTGGGGGGGGGGGAGAAGAGGGAAAGATGAAAAAGATAATCTTCAAGGATTAAGATATAACTGGAGCTTGCAGACAAGTATGTGCTTAATTGTAATGCGAAGCAAAATGGAAAGCATCTTTAAAAAAAAAAAAAAAAAATATATATATATATATATATATATATATATATATATATATTGATTTCAGAGAGGAAGGGAGAGGGAGAGAGAGATAGAAACATCAATGATGAAAGAGAATCATTGATAGGCTGCCTCCTGCACGCCCCCCACTGAGGATTGGGCCAGCAACCCAGGCACAACCCTGACCTGGAATCGAACCTCTTGGTTCATAGGTTGATGTTCACTGAGCCACGCCAGCCAGGCTGGAAAGCATCTTATGAGAAGAACAAACAAAGATTTGGGGTTTGAGGTGAAGGAAGGTGATGCTCAGGTGGCAGGACACAGAAGTGCTGCCGGGAAGGTCTCCCTGGGCGCTGATGCAGGTGGAGCCTCTGTGGGGAGGAGGAAGGGTAAATGTCTGCTGGTCAGACGCCAGAGCCCCGGCTACAGTGGACAAGGGAAGCTGGAGGAACGCCGGGTCCCAACCAGAGTGTAGCCACTCACAGCCCTGCTCTGTCACAGGAGGTCACTCAGGACAGCACCTTGGACTGGAGGGCCAGGTGGGAGCAGGTAGGTGCTGAGGCCCTTGTTCTGGTGTCTAATGGTCTCACTCTCCATGCTCACCCATCCAGCCTCAAGCCCTTCTCCAGACGGGCAGGACGGCAGGCGGCCAAGGAGCAGGAACCCGTCCACCTGGACCGTGGAGGATGTGGTCCGGTTTGTGAAAGATGCTGACCCGCAGGCTCTGGGGCCTCATGTGGAACTCTTCAGAAAGCATGTATGTGTGTGGTGGGCCCGGCCCCGGGGAGGTGGGGTGGGAAGGTGTGGGAGGAGGGTGAGGTTCAGGGAGCTGGGGGCTGGGGGCGGTTCTGAACTGAGCTCTGGGGGCACCACTCAAGGAGAAGCACATACTTCTCAGAGCACAACCACCACTTCTTTTGTTTTAGAGGGATATTTGTCCCATCGGTTCCATCATGTCTTTTAACAGGAGTGCCTGTTTTCTTGCCCATTCATCCATCCATCCATCTATGCATTCAACAAATATTTTTAGCACACATACGATATGCCAGGCAAACTATCAGTGCCTGGTCCTAAGCAGTTTGAGGGTTAAGTGAGAAGATGCATCCAAATGTCTAGCATGGTGCCTGGATTGTAGATAGCCTTCAGTTAGCAGGCATTCTTACAATCATGTAGGAGATCCTGAAATATGTAAAGGTGGTAAATGAAAAAAAAAAAAAGATAAGAATTCATATTTAACCTGCCAAGCTTTCTATGTCAGTTTTCTATTGCTGTTATCCTCAATTCCCACAAATGTAGTAGCTATGAATAGCAATTCACTTCTCAGTCCTGGAGACCAGAAGTCCGAGATCAGCCTGGTCTTCATCTGGTGAGAGCCCCTTCCCAGGTTGCAGGTTGTCATCTTCTCGTTGTGTAAGGACACTGATCCCATTCATGAGGACTGCACCATCGTGAACTAATTACCTCCAAAGTAACCACATTTTGGAGGTGAGGATTTCAACATATGAATGGGGAGGGGTCAGGGAACACTCTGTTCATTGCACACTTCTTGCTCATTTAGCCCTAGATCGGATGAGGAGATAGACATCATATGTGAGATATTGGGACCCTGCTGGAGTTATGTTTAATTCCTTCAACCCTGATAAAGTAGGAATATGAAAGATCCACTGTATTACATTACCCCAGGGAGAGGAGCATATAACATGTTTGCTCTATCTTTTAAAGAAGGTATTGCGTGGGGACTAAGAACATGTTTCTAAATGCATCCACATTCCCTTACCTCACCCCCTGACCACACTTTCATTGTAGCCACCGCCTGATCGCTCTGACCATCTTCTGGGTTTCCTTTGTTCTGACCCTGTTCCACCAGGAGATTGACGGCAATGCCCTCTTGTTGCTGAAGAGTGACATGATTATGAAATACCTGGGCCTGAAGCTGGGACCTGCGCTGAAGCTCTGTTACCATATTGACAAACTGAAGCAGGCCAAGTTCTGAAAGTTTCTAGAAGACAGAAGCAAAATCCAGACAGCAGATCTCAAGATCATCTCTGTCTTACCAACATCCAGCCACCATGGAAAAACAGATTCTCTCCTCAAAACAACAGGCACAAAGACGGGGGTCTTTTTACAAAACGCCTTGCCTTTTCCAAAAGTCAACCTGGCCCCATTTCAAAGGCTCTTTTGTGTTAATGATTTGCCAAAAAAAATTTACAAAAATGCCTATTATCTGTAACATTCCTAATAGGTTGGTTGCCATCAGAGTGGGTCCTATTTGGACAATGAGAATGTGGGGAACTGAGTCCTATCGCCCAAGGTGAACCCTGGAGGGTTCCAAGGGTGCGAAAAGACCTTGGTCTCGCTCTGCAGGCCTTGTGGCCACGCCCACCACAGCGCCACCTGTCTTCGACTGTGACCCGGGGACGTATCATTGTGAGCCTTGCTTGATTTAGCTCTGAAGGCTGTCTTTGGAGATAAATGCCTCCCCTTGCACTATCTGGAAAACTTGAATTCTTTTGCTCTCTGAAAGAGAAGAAAAAAACCAACTCTTTTCTATTTCCAGTGATCTGAAGTACTGTGTTATCCCACTAGAGGGCAGACTGCTAATGAGATTTCAGGACCCTCACTCCTGCAGGCTGATAATTCTGTCCTCAGTAGGAGGAGGGTTAGGGCTTCTGTGAGCAAGATCTAGCCTACACAGCATAGGGAATTTATTCCAAGGTCAGCACCGCGGATTGCAGACGTGGGAAGACCTAATTACCTCCCAAAGGTAATTGGAAAGAAACCATCTTCTAGAAGGTTCTGGTTTTTAGCCAATCATCATTAAGGACTGATGCACAAACAGCGAAGGCAAGAAATTGGAAGTTTGTTCATCCCAGATGGGGCTTTGGAGTTTCTTCTCTTCCAGAATCCTTACTGAGGTGTCGATACGCTGGCCCGCCGAACAGTCTCAGTGACATTTAGCCATGGGTGTTTCTTTAAAAAACAAGAAAAATGTCTCAAGTGAGCTTTGAAATGGGAGTGTTGGTTGCTAGTTACATTGCTGGATTATGTAGTTGTATCTGTGGCTAATTTTTCTAGTCCTTAACAAACACGCAGACATGCAATTATTGGGTTTAATTCCGTTTACAAATAGGTTTCCCCTCTTCGCTGTGGAGTAATGGGGAAAAATTGATCTCTACCCCTTTGCAGCTGTGTCCAGGGAAGGACGGCGCATCCACAATTTGCTAGACAGAAGGACAACTTTGTCTTCATGCTTCTTTCTATCCCTTTCCCTCTCTCTTTTTTCCCCTTCCTCTCTCACTGAACAGAAAACATATCTTTAAAATGAATTCACCTTTGCCAGGGGCATTTCCTCTTTCTTAAAAGATAAATAAATAAAAACCCATCGTTGGAGGTGAGGAGATGAAGACCAGGCTTTGCCATCTGAAGGGTGAGGATCAAAAAGAACCCCAGGGTTTCCCTTGGCCCAAATACCTCCAGGAGGCAGCCTTGGCAGGGGTCTTGGTGGGAGAGTGGAACCGGCTGGGATTTCTGCCCCTCACCCCTCAGCCAGGTGCCCTTGTGCAGGACATGGCCTGCCCAAACCCCAAGGCAGCCCCGGGGAGCTTTGGAAACAGATTCTTTGGAAACTGGTTAGCATTAGATGAAGATCATAAGAAATACTCCGTGCCATGCTGTGAGAGGTCCCGAATCCCCTTGACAACCCACGCTTCTCCACTGATTCTGCTCAACCCTCTGGAACTCATGGTCCCTCTTCCATCAACATATACCTCATTTAGAGACTTTCACATCTCCCCCCCCCCCCCTCACTAGCACCCTCCTCACTACAAAAACATGAACACTGTGCCCCCAGATCGAAACCACCCCCAAACAATGCCAAAGGGATGCTGTGGGTAGTTTTCAGGGGAGAGAGATGTGGCCATCTCGAGTCTAGGGGAACACTGGATCCATGTTCATGTGCAACTGTTTTCACGGAGGTGCTATCTCATTTCGCATTAAGCTTGAAGCAGGACAGATTGCTGAAGCCATGATATTTAAGGTTTGACTTTTTAGAAATCTCATTCCTCTGAAAACGAATACTGCCGTTTCAGAGAGCAGCGCGGGGAGGGAATTCTCCCTCGCCTGTTTCTGCACTGGAATGCACTTAGCCGACCCAACCATTGCAGCACTCACTGCTGCAATAATAATTAATTTTCACCCCTTTCAGAAATCTTGTCAAACCAGGCAGCCACATAGCTCAACAAATGTAAAACATGCCAGGCCATTTCCTCCAAATAGACCTTAAAGAGTCGGGCTGTGTGTGCGTCGCTCTTGTCTAAATGTGAGCTTATGTGGGGCCCCACACTTGCACAGACGTTGTAGTTGTTATGCCACTGCCGTAGCTTTGCTTCAGGTTGGGACGTATAATGCTATAGTTTTGCGTGTTTTCCAATTAGAGAGTGTGTGTTCATGTTCCAAATATTTTCAATTATACTTTTCTTTAAACACTTTTTAAAAAAATATAGAGACAATTCTATTGCCTAAGATGTTTTAAATGTTTTATGAAGCACATTATTCCTTTGGTGAAGACTTCAGGTAAAAGATGTGTGTGTGTGTGTGTGTGTGTGTGTGTGTGTGAGAGAGAGAGAGAGAGAGAGAGAGAGAGAGAGAGAGAGAGAGAGAGAGTCCTGACACTGTAGTTGGAAGAGCCTTAGGAAGTGGCTGGGAGCGTATCAGCTATTATGTTTGTTTGGTTAAATGCATGTCTCAAGCTTTGTAACAGGAAGGCAGAAAGTGCTTACCTTCTATTGCCAGCAGAGGGTGCCCCGGAGGCAGCTGGGGGCTTCTGGGCCTACCCAACTCTGAGATGACTGAGGCTCACGGTGACCAAAAGGGAGAGGCCAGCCAAAGAGACCTGTAGGCAAGGAGCAATATTCTTCAGCGTCTGGTTCACTGCCCACCAGGGTGGACACTGGCTCCTGGCATTTCCGTCAGCCGGGCTGCCAAGCTTGTTTCCTTCCAGCGGAAAAAAGGAGTGAAGGGCTCCACTGGAGAATCAGTATGATATTGAAACACACAGCAGAGGAATGCCGAGCTGAGGTGGGCATGCTTGAAAAGGAAATCAGTGAGGGGGGTGTGACAAAACTATGAATTTCTTAGGAAAACAAGGAAAGAGCACCTCTTCTAACACTCCCAGACCTTGAAGCTGCAATAGACTATTTTTGTATTCACATCTTGTATGAGATGTTTTTTACTTTTTAAATATTAAAATTATTTTAAGTTGTTTTTTGAGATTGTTTTAGGAGAACTTTGTCATATCTCTGAAGATAGTTGGAAATGCTCGGAGGTGACTCGGAACCGGAATTTAGTCATTGTCAGGAGGTCTCGAAAGGTGAGAAATGATGTTTTCTCTCTGAAGAAGCAGCCAGGTTTTCATGTGTGTGAGCAGAAGGCAGTGCTGTTCGATGTCGGTTCTGATGGGACACTTTTTCAAATCTTCTCCGATGTGGGTCTCATAAAAAAAAAAAAAATCTCAGATAACAAAACATGGGATGGTGAAGGAGTAGATACATTTTTAAAAAGGCAAAAAAAGCCTGCCCATGGTTGTGGTTCAGGAACACACTCCAAGCACGGAGGAGAGCTGTCCTGCCACGTGCACCACCTGCAGCAGGAGACCATGCCCAGGCTGGCGCTGCAACTGGCAGGTGGTGGGACACACAGGTGCCTGCAGACGCCCCACCCTGTCATTCCAGCAGCCGCACCCACCCTGCACCTGAGCTCCTCCAGGGAGGAGCCTGCACTCCCAGGGTGTCTGTCCTCCCCCCTCCTCCGAGATGATTCCTTCACGGACAATTGGAAGCCGGAGTTTTTGGGAACGCAGCATTTATTTGAAAGGGAATCGCTCTTATTTATTGCCACCAGTTAAATATTACGGAAACATGTCTGCTAACAATTTGCTTTGTGTAATTTGCTCTAATGCTAATGGACAGCAGCTGGGACACTTCCTGGGGTAAATTCCTCTGCGGTCGCCGCGGTATGCTCACACATGGACGGCACTGGGACGCTGTGCTCCAGAAGAAAGCCCGCACTGCTCACCCCGAGCCAGGAAATTCCCCCGACGGGGAAGCAAAAGCACGTTTTCAGGGGAACATTTGCTGTCCTGCACCCTCTGCTTCCCCACGCAGGGCCCCAGACCTGCGCACCAAAACCCTACAGGAAGAGCTTGGGGTTCCAGAGGAACAGACAGCACACAGAGCTGAAGAATGACACCCTCCTCCGGGTCCGAGGGCTGGACCAGAGTTGGTTCTGAGAGGCAGGGGCAGGAGAGGAGCAGAGACTCACTCAAGAGCCCAAGCTTGTTCGGCAGCCGATTAAATAATGATGTCAGACAGTGTGGGGACAGAGCATCCTTCTGCCTAAAGCAAGCATGTCAAACTCAAGGCCGGGGTGGGGTGGGGGTGGGGGGAGGCCCCCATGCCATGCTTGTCCTAAAGGGTCTAAAATTCCACTTAGACTTGCTCTGGGCTGCCAGCCCACCATGCTCTGCTCTGTAGCTTGACCTCATGACCTGAGCCTCAGAGGCACTTCCGTGGAGGCTTATGGCAAAGGCCAACCCAAATGCCTTCCCCTGGAGCCTCCTGTGAAACCTCCCCTTGACCTTGCTTCTCCAAACAGCTCACTGTGAAACACCAGACCCTCCGTGGGCATCACTTCAGAGTAAGCGTGTGTGACCCGAGGCTGCCTCCCTCCCCGAGACAGCATCCTCTCCCCCTCCCTCCCCGCGTGCTGGAACCCCTTCCCCACGGCCCTGAGAAAAGGCCCTGCCCGCCTCTTCCCATTCGGAGGAGCTCACTCCCATAGGAAGTGGCTTGTTTCTTTGTTGGACAGCTCTGGTTGTGAAAGTTATTTCTCAGGGAGACACAGATGTCTGTGAATCAGACACAGACGTTTGAGAGGGAGCCAGCTCTGCAATCTTTCCCTTTTTAACAGAGCTTGTCCATGCAGTAACCATACCCA